TTTTTATGCGTTTTTTAACCTTGATAGTTCCTGAAGTTTGCTAATGCTATGCCAGTTTCAGAAAATTTTGTTCCCGGCATCAAACATTCGTAGCAACACTTCAGAGCACTTTACCACCCCCAATTGTGTATTTTCAATTCGCGCTGCATGCGGCGAGACCGGGATAAGAATGTTTCTGCCAAAACCGAGGTTTTTTGGTGTCTAGAAAAGCACTGATCTTGTGCTACAGGTCAACTGTGTGCAATTAAAATAAATACTAGTTTAAGCATGTCTAATAACACTAAAACAGAAATCGGAGTCGGAGTTGCAAATTGCGTTGATTACTACATTAAGCTGTCAGAGAGTTCCGGGCGAAGTACAGACACAAAAATGCGTTTGCATTGAATAGCGTGACATCTGTCTTGTCCGTTCTGGCACAGCGAGAGAGGAATATTATGCTGTCACTCTTATTTGACTGACTTACTATCTGGTTCTAAACTGATTGCTCCAAGGCAACGTCTGTCCCACTGTTCAACGGAATTCGCAGTGAAGGTAAAGATTTTCCCTTGAGCAAATTTAAAACCAGCAAGTTCGCAATTTAGATTCGGATAACCCTGTGCTATTACACACTAGCAAGTTTTAGCCCTGAATTTATTTGTTTCTTAACGTTGTATTCATAGTTAAAGAATTTGTTAATCCATGATTTAGGACATTAAATAAGGCTGATTTTACAACTTTCATTACCGACACATTTAGTATCCGGCAGCATCATCGAACACAACAATTTACACGCAAAATTTATTCGCTAATTGCTTACCTTTGCTTATTATTGTTTAAAGCATGAGGTTTGCTTTACTTATACTGATAAGCATAATTCGTCACTTATCTTCCTATAGTGGTAAAATTTACCAACAAAGTAAACTTTTTTTTTGTTCACTTGCTAACTCTGAAAATGCTTACAACTGTAACTTTAAAAGTTTAATAACTCTCCGGATTTAAAATCGAGGTTTCGTCGTCATTGCTCGGTCCTTTTTAAACTACTTGATTATCTGTTTTTTAAAGAAATCAGCTTACTGTTTTGAATAACGAGTATTTCTTGTATAACCAATCGCCTTACTAGGTAGGATGATTTTTCTTTTTACAGGGATATAACGAACTTCCTATGGAAACTTGACAGATGTGGATCAAAATATGGAAAGCGATTCAAGTGATGAATATTACACCCCTTCGAGCAAAGGCAGAAACCTTGATGTGCACGCTGTTGTCATTCACAAGTCCGAAGCAGGTAATTTTTGCCTGTGTTGCCTTGGCGGTTGTCAAACGTATGTTCTGCGTCCGTCGTTTTCAGCAGTGCTCACAGACATGTGGTATTATGGGTATCGAAACGTTTCATTTGCAGCTCTGACCGCTGAGTCCGGGATATGCTCTTTCAGCAAGCCAAATATCCAAAGTCCAGGGCAGTTTTTTCTTGTGGTTAGACACCAACTGGTGAACGCAGGCAGCTTCGTTGAGTAGCCTTTGTTCTTCATCTTCCATGGCCGCTTCTACTTTCGGGTCGCCGAGGCGAATGCATCAGACAATGCTCCCAACGTTACCGATTCTGTGACAGTCTGAGTTTCGGAAGAAGACAGCTGAAGTCTGGAACAGACGCCTACCATATATTTGCACCAGGTTAATCTTCGCCGTTCCCTGGGCCTTCGAATGGTCAGTTGAGCAAGAAACGGTTGCTTAGCCTTTCTTTCTGGAGGCATTCGCAAAACATGTCCAAACCATCGCAGCTGTGACTTCTCAATCTGGAGAAGCAAAGGCTGTACACCAGGGCTCTCCCGGATGTCTCTAGCGTTTGTTACTGAACGGAAATCGTGTCATTTCGATGTAATTGACTAAATGTTCTACGAGCGCCCCATTGCGAGGTGTCCAACCATCTCTAGAAAATCGTTGTCGTACCACCTCAAACCACGTGTGCCATATCTGTCTAATGTCATACGTATTATATTCTGTTGTTTAGTTCACTGAGGAGGAGGCACTGGAGTTGTCTCGCCGTCCTCTTCTGCCTGCTCAAAAAATTCGCTAGTAACGACGGTGCGAACGTACGCCATACAGCGTTGCGCTGTGAATGCGCGGACCAGACGTCGTGGCCGGCGCTTCAAGGCCCTACGAGGCTCGAGAAGAGGCAACGAACAGTGATCATCAGGCGTGGTCGCGTTTCATGTTTCGCGCACACGTCATGGCTCGTCGGTCGTCACTGCTTCCGGTGACCACTGTTGGTTGCCACTCCTCGGACCTTGGAGCGCAGATCACGCCGCCCGCTTAAGTGGGTCGGTTGCCAGTCGGTCGATTGGCATCGCCTTGGCGTCGTTCTCCTGTTTCTTGTGTGGGTAGAAGAATTTGCCTTCTTATGACGTCGGCGACAACGAGGACTAACAGCACGACATGATACGTCGATCCCATCGGAATGAACGTTCGAATATAGCGGTCGGTTTTTGTGTGGTTCGTGTCGCTCTCTGTCGGCCGGTCGAACAGGTAAATGGAGTTTGCGTGGTTCGACCTCGTTCCAGCCTACGGCTTCGGATGATGCGACATGTCATGAAAACCGCGAAAAAAACATATATAATGGTCAATGTGCTATAATGGTCTTCTTGGAACTGAGTTAAGAAAATGTTGGTATCCTAAACGAAAACAAACTGACTGACTGATCAAGCAGCTCTCTCGGCGGCTACCCTAGATGACTAAGAGGCAGTCATCAGCCAGCAGAAGAGTGGCAGCAAGGAAATAACTTTAAGCGAACTACAGTAATTCAACGCCAGCGTTATTGTTCCACGCGTGCATCGTCTAAACCAGGTGCTGCAGACGATCGCTCGAAACCGTGGAATTCAGATCCGAACAAACGTTAGGCACTTAGCTGATGCATATAAAAATCATCGAGCCAAAATCTGAGCATCCAGGCTGGATCGATGCCGTACTTTATGTGTACGGTCGCAGTTACATAGGAGAAATTGGCAACACCTCGAAAGGGAGGAAGAGAGAACACGTCAGTAGCATGCGAGATGGTGCAATGCTGATATACCTCAGAATGTACGAGCATAGCGAGGAAAAGAGCAAAGACCAAGAAAGTTCCGCGATGGTGAAGAAAGAATGCTAAAAGAGAACGCGGCGGCTGTGAAGCATGCAGTACAAGAACAATACTGAATATTATGGGATTACATGAAAGGAATGCACCGAGAGCGATACTCGGTGCCGGATTATAACGTAAACCCTCGTGATTCAGTCGAGTCAGTGCACGAATAAAGACGGTGGTATGAAAGAGGGTGATACTGGAATTAAGTTATAAAGCGACTTTCACTGTCGCGACTGTAGCGATTTATACTGTACACAGTTCATACAGTAAAAGAACAACACTTGATCTTACGAGACCAGGTGAAAGGGATACACCGAGGGAAAACGCTATCATGAAGAATCTGCGTACTAATACGATGGTGTCGAAGCAGGCCTTCAAATCTGTTCACGTACCTACCCTTACTGCAGTTATGAGTGGTATTGACCGAAACTGGGATTCAGAACAGGAACGGCAGAAATATGGTTTTGTAAAGATTGCTGACGTAGCGAGGCTGGACAAAGTCGGGAACATGGCATTTCGAAATGTCTTAGATTGTGAGTTGCTTCTATTCCCGGTCAGCAAATTGCGATATTTTGAACATCTGATGAATGTGTCACGGGCGATACTCCCCAAATGGACAGATCAATGAGCTGATTATTCAATTATACTGAGCACCTTCGTCGTGCCTCTGCATCTGGGCCATGAAGCTTGGAAAATGGATGAACCCCTCAGCCATTTTTCAAGCAGAAGATGGGTTCAGTGATAATAAGGTTTCGTACCTTCTTTGAAGATTAGTACGGTCGATGGCCCGCAGTCATTCCATTCGCTTTTATAATCGTATTGTTCTCATCCTAAATGAGATTGCCTTAAAAATATGTTTCTATACTAGTTGTCGCTGTCACGTTAATCGACCGTTTCATGATTCATGGTAGTCTTTCGCGGTTAATGAGATTCACCGAACTGACTTCACCCTGGAATGCAGGTCTGTACTCTGATCATTATCCATTCCTGTGGCATGGGTACAAAGGTTGGATTTGCTGCGAGCAGGTATTGCTTAACGTAAAGCCAATCCACCCATTAAAGCAGTGGTTGCAGTCTAGAGATTCGACCAACCATCGGACTTTATTGCCTTCCTTACGCGAACATCCCTCACTGAGCAGTGAGTGGAAATGGAATAGAATGACACAATGTTAATCAGGTTGTAATGATATAGAGTTTTACTGTTTAGGACCTGTGAAAAATGACGAAACAGTTCACCCGTTCTGTGCCGTACTCCTTTACTCCTACAATGGAGGCCAAATTACTTCTGTGCTTCGATCAGAGGCTGGATATACTCATTTATTCAGTTTTAGCCTCATGAAGAAGAATGAATCAGCGTACTGTACATGCTGCTTTACTGCTGTTTATTGTAAAATAGGAATATTGATTGCTTATTTTCTCCGTCTCTGATGACGCTAGTCAATCATTCTTAGGTGCCCTTTTATTTCATATCTTATGTATTCACACTACTTTTGCTGGTAGCCTGCTCAAATCATTTTAATCGTACGCCAGTGCACTAAATATTAGTGTTTTTTATGCCGTGAAGCAAGATGCCTATTTCTGCTTTCAGTACCATCGTACGCACAGTGCAAGTAGAAATTTGTTTCTCGGTACAGGTAAAAAGCGAGACAATGTGTTAAGGCAGGAGGATTCATAACGGTACGGGTTAACTGGAGGGACAGATATAGGGTTTCGGTGTAATGAAAACGGATGATTCAGTGCTTCCAAAGGATATGTTTTCTACAGTGAGGTGATTGTTTGTTACAATATTATGAGCTTTATTTGAAGCTTTGCCTTTATAAACCAGGAACGATGATACGGATCCAGGAAGGCTGAAGGGAGTGGGAACGGTAGCTAGTAGAAAACCCGTTTCTTAAGCTTGAAAATGCAGATGCATCTCACTATAGGTACACGTTATGTGTAGGTGTCAAGTCAGTGTACATCAGCCGAGTATTCTTTGACGTCGGTACTTATTCGTCATGTGTCGAGAAACCATTTGCTTTACTTTCCTTACGCGGACCACTTTTATCCAGTTATGACTGAAAGCATAGCGAAATATATTGTAATCCCCTTTAGAAGAAAACATAGATGAACCAGGCAATGTCACTCTGAAGCATTGATTTAATAATTGTTCATTGCTACCGAAGGATATAAGTGGCGTAGGCGATTGTTCGTGAGTTGTATTTAAGTTTTATTTGGAGCAGTGCTTCGTCTTCGAGTTTTGGCTGTAACTCTTTTTACACGCCATCAACCGCAGGAAAGAAATTTGAAGGGGTCATGTATTGCTCATAGGATGATGGGCGTCTCGTTACGGTCGTCTGTTAGTCCAAGAATCAGCGATGGTCATGTTTTGTGAGACATGTGTAAACTCTATTTGATGATATGTTTTAACATGTTCTGCTTTCACTGATCAGTAGAAATAGAAGTAAAAAAACTGCTGGGAAGAGATGGCAGTTA